TATATCAAAAGAACAAAATGAAACACCAAACTCAGACGCACTTTTGAAACCTCTTCCTACGAGCGTACCGCAGATAGACATATTGGAACCATCCGCTATCCCATTCCTCGCTGTCACATCATTCTTGTCGTTCATCTTCATCGTTATCTATTACAACCTTACAGATTTCGACAACGAAGTTGATTAGCTGCTCCAATTAGTACTTGATTAGTCGTGCCTACCTCGATTTATAATAGAGCGAATAGGAGTGCAATAAATGCTAAAATCATACGAGTGATCGCAATATCAACTGACCGTGTTGCGGGATTAGTTAACCACGCGAGTATGGTCTTACTTAGCATTAATTGCACGACTTAATTCGTTCTATTACTTTATTAATTATATATCTTCTGTAATCAAAAGATGCAATTTATTGAACTTCAGTGAAATTAATAAATTTTTATCACAACAATAGTAGGTAGTCGTACAAGTAGTACAATTTCGAATTATAAAATTTATCAACCTGAATGGTGATTTGCTATATAGTTGTATATTATACTAGAGTGATTTTAATTGGCTATGAGCAAGGGTGCAATTACAACTCGCAAAGGGTGCAATCAATGCTCAAATCGCACTACTAATGAAATTGCAGTATTTGCCATCATATATAATTTTTATCGGCTACTTTCATGGGTCGATTTGGCTTTGCTTTCAAGTTTCAATTTGCCTTCCGCGTGGGCAGCTCACCAGGGAAACAGATTAGTGCGTGAGACCAAATCTGTGAAATGCAGGGGATAAGGGAATTTCTTTAGAAAAGTTTGACTCTGTCGACGGGAGCGTCCTCCCGTCCATATTCTTTTCAAATGTTCTTTGTTTCAGGTTATTCAAAACAACCTACCCACAGTAAAAAGTATATGCATATTAAAATTGTGAGAGCACTGAGTATTTCATTCCTTGCGCTATTGACTATTGTTGTTAAAAGCGAAAGGTCTACAAGTTTTTATAATCCTGGCATACTAATGTTCGTTGGTCTTTTCTGTTGAACAGAAGCTGTTGTATTCTAGGTAGGTCTAAGTCAAACTGTTTATTATTTCCAATGCATATAGGGTATAGACTATAGTGTAATACATGTCTCGTCCGTTACATACATATAATATCAGGGACTTATAAATATAACATTGCTGGACTCGTGTTTGTAAATCAAGATCTAGAAACGTCGACGCAGTGAGAAACACTTGCTGGCATGTCTGCATGTATGTAGTAAACCTTCGTATTTAGGACTGAAACCGTTTGTAAAATATATCAGTAGTACTGCTCTATTCTTATATTCAGCGAAGTTAAGCTGTAGCTATCATTTTATGAGGGAAACCACTTTGTTTCATTCGGGGAACGTATATAGAGGGTTAAAACTGCAAAGTTTCTGCATGGACTTAAGTATTTGATTAACTTCCGGCATCTGCTAAGGGTATATTATTAACTTTATTTTAAAATTATTAATGTGGTATAGTATATTTTAAAAAATTCTTAGAGTTCCCAGCGTTTAGGCCCAAAATTTTCCATTCTAAGTTTTAGAAATAATTTCTTTCAATTATTCCACCCGTGATCACAGAAACTTTGAAGTGTAAATTGGGGCTTGGTATACATGTCAATTGTTTTTATTCTTACAAGAATCATTTATTTTTATCCCTAATAGACAATTTCAGCTTGCATGCAAATTAACCCATTTCAGATGTTGTGACCATGTAATTTGAAATGGGCATACAAGCTAAAAAGGTCTATTTAAGCCCCGTTTACACTACAGTCAATTTATCGGCACGGCACGGCACGGCTAAAATTGGTACCTGTACCCGATTTTATAAGTGTTTAGGCAACCAAAGGAAAGGCCGAGCACAGATGAAATGGGCGCGGGTATCCATTTTAGCCGTGCCAATAAATCGAATGTATAGTGTAAACGGGGCTTAAGCATATTTTCTTACTCGTAGTGTGATTTTTATTTTTAAAAGTAGCTAGGTTTAGCCAAACCAATGGCGAGGTTCAGATTTGTCTTCCACTACTATAGCTCTCGCTAATCTATTGAGCTCGTGGTTGATCTGACAGACTTTATCGCACTTGATTGGCTCATGTTCCGCCCTCAATAGTTGTGGTAGAGGTAGTTAAATCCGAACCCCAAAAATATCATAAGGAAGACGACAACAATATGCGAACGGTTATCAATACACGTCTGTTTCTCTAAAGAGAATATTAAATAGTTAATTGAGAGTAAATGCCTCTTGAACTATATTAGACGAATATATGTTACACCTGCTGAGTGGCCCTTCCAGTCCGCAATTTATTTGTGGTGTCTAAGTATGAAATACGCATATTTTTTAGCGGTTTTGTACTTGGATCGAGTTATGAAAAGGAGACTGCTTGCGATCGTTGGGCTGCTCTTGTATCTTTTCGACTTCGTATCAGATTTCTACGTGGCTTATAAATATTGGGAAAATGGAGATACTTGGTGGTTCGGAATGACGGTTACCTTTATCGGTGTTCCTTCAATTATAGTAAATATAACATCGGTGGTACAACTTATGGATCCATGCTTATGTTTGGCCAGCGTTCTACAATTGTCTTTGGTGATTCGATACATCAAAAAAATATATGACGATCGCAATCCCTATTCATTCGCAAAGTTGCGGTATGTGGAGACAATTTTGGAGTCCGCTCCACAGTGGTGCCTTCAGACGTACGTCATGTTACGGAAGTGGCATTTCCCATGGCACACCGTGATCTCGATTGTACTGTCATTCCTGTCCTACAGTATTACAGAACTCGAGATTGCAAGATACAAGGATGATCCACAAGGTGGTCTCAAATTAAAGCAGAAAGTCTCGTTTCTGGTTTGGCAATTTTTTACGCTTATGTCAAGATTATATGCCATCGTATTTTTCGCTTACGTGTTCAGGTATTACGTGATTCTCGTCCTTCCAATTCAGTGGTTGCCGCTTGTTTTGATGATAATAATCGTGAAAAGAAATGAAATCTTTGCAGAGGGAAATAGTAAAGCAAAAGCCTTAGTCGTGTCATTTCTGGTGAGTTTCCCTTCTCTCTTTCATTCTCCGGGGAGCTTCGCGCCAAAAGAAATTCGCAAAGCTAATATGATCTTGGGGCACATATTCATCGTTATTGGAAACATCGTCATAGTGGTATTGTGTCTGACAGAGGGTATACCAAAAGGGTCCCGGTCGAAAAGCGTGGAACCCATCCCTGAGACAGTACCACACATGGACGTATTGAAACCAATTGCCATTGCATTCCTTTCTGTGGGATCATTCGTGTCGTCCATTTTCATCGTTATTTATTACACACTTAATCACAGACTTCGATAGCACGTTTGCTTTGTTTAGGTTTAAAATAAGCATTGATTACAATGATCAAAATATTTCAACAGTTACCATATATCTATCAGGGGCCGCTTGTATAAAAACGTAGTTAACTTTTAATTATGGTTAGTGACAGATTGACCAATCATGCAGAGACGTTTATTTCTGAGTTAACTACAATTTAACTACCCAAAATGTAGTTAAGAGGTTTATACAACCGTCCCCAGAGTACGAAAAATTGATACTGCATGAGACAAACATAAATTATATGTGACTAAATTACGAAGAAATTATGAAATAAATAGTTTGATGCATAAAATTTTGACTTTTGTTGCTCGCAGTATTTTTGTACTTGAAGCATTTCATTCTCGAATTACTTTGTATGCATATAAAATAAATTACTTTATAATGGTTGGCTCGTTTGTACGATTTCAGTCGTATTTGCGCACAACGTGTATAAATGAAAAACACCATAGCTGAGACGTACCAGTGCATGAGACTAATCAGAGACTAGATACAAGAAAGTGTGAAAATATTTTCCTAGCCTCAACTCGTTTTTCAAATAAATAAAACGGCGTGTAGTGTATAATGCACTGAGTTGAATGTGACACACATTTGGCACGCAATGTATGGCAATACAATCTCGATCACCCATGTACTCCTTTTTGTGCACGTATTTTAGGTAAGTCTTAAAGTAAATGCATCTTCGAATGACTGTTTGCAAAGTAGACTAGCATAGTATATCTTCCTCGTTCATAATATAATATAGGCTATAGCGCATTCAGTTGAGACACATGAGATTGCATGGGTCGAGTTCGCTTTGCCTTCAAGCCAATGTGCGTTTCGCGAATTCGCGTGGGTTACTCACCATGGAAACAGATTAGTGCCACCAAATCTGTGAAACGCAGGGGGTAAGGAAATTTCCTTAGAAAAGTTTGACCCTGTCGACGGGAGGGTCCTCCCGTCCATATTCGTTTCAAATGTTCTTTGTTTCATGTTATTCAAAACAACCTCTCCCACAGTAAAAAGTATGCATATTTTGTGAGAGCACACGGTGTCTCATTCCTTGCGTTATTGACTATTGCTGTTGAAAGCGAAAGTGCTCTATAAAGTTTTATAATCCTGGCATACTAATGTACGTTGGTCTTTTCTGTTGAACAGAAGCTGTTGCATTCTAGGTAAGCCTAAGTCAAACTGTTTAATATTTCCAATGCATATAGGCTCATAGACTATAGTGTAATACATGTCTCGTCCGTTACATACATTTAATATCAGGGACTTAAATAATTATAAGTTTGAAAATATAACTTCGTTGGACTCGTGTTTGCAAATCAAGAAACGTCGACGCAGTCAAGAAATACTAGCTGGCATGTCTGGATGTATGTAGTACCGTTTGTAAAATGTACAAGTAGTACCGTTCTAGTCTTATATTCAGCGAAGTTAAGCTGTAGCTATCATTTTATGAGGGAAACCACTTTGTTTCATTCGGGAAACTTAGAGGGTTAAAACTGCATGTAAAGTTTCTGCGTGCACTTAGGTATTGGTTTAACTTCCGGCATCTGCTAAGGGTATATTATTAACTATATTTTGAAATTATTAATGTGGTACATAGCGTGAACGCGAAATGATCGATGCGTTTTCGGTCTTGCGAAACCGCATACAAACGAAAACGCACTAGTGTAGACAGGCCCTAAGTATGAGATATGTATATTTTTTAGCGGTTTGTAAAAGGAGACTGCTTGCAATCGTTGGGCTGCTCTTGTATCTTTTCGACATCGCAACAGATTTCTACGTGGCTTATAAATATTGGGAAAATGGAGATACTTGGTGGTTCGGAATGACGGTTACCTTTATCGGTGTTCATTCAATTATAGTAAATATAACATCGTTGGTACAACATAGGAATCTATGGTCATGTTTTGCCAGCGTTCTACAATTGTCTTTGGTGATTCGATACATCGAAAAAATATATAAAAAGGATAACAATCCCTATTCATTCGCAAAGTTGCGGCATGTGGAGACAATTTTCGAGTCCGCTCCTCAGTGGTGCCTTCAGACGTACGTCATGTTACGTAAGTGGCATTTCCCATGGCACATCGTGATCTCGATTGTACTGTCATTCCTGTCCTCAGCGTGGAGTATTACAGAACTGGAGATTGCAGCAAGATACGAGGACGATCAGCAAGTCGGTCTCAATTTAAAGGAGAAAGTCTCTTTTCTGGTTTGGCAATTATTTACGCTTCTGTCACGATTATATGCCATCGTATTTTTCGCTTACGTGTTCAGATATTACGTGATTCTCGTCCTTCCAATTCACTGGTTGCCGTTTATTTTGATGATAGTAATCGTGAAAAGAAATGAAATCTTTGACGACAGAAATGGGAAAGCCGTAGCCGAATCATTTCTGATGAGTTTTTCTTCTCTCTTTCATTCTCCGGGGAGTTTCGCGCTAATTGACAAAGATATTCGCAAAGCTAATATGATCTTGGGGCACATATTCATCGTTATTGGAAACATCGTCATGGTGGTTTTGTGTCTAACAGAGGGTATACCAAAAGTGTCCCCTTCGAAAAGCGTGGAACCGGAGACAGTACCACACATGGACGTATTGAAACCAATTGCCATTGCATTCCTTTCTGTGGGATCATTCGTGTCGTCCATCTTCATAGTTATTTATTGCAAACTTACAAACCGGTTTGATTCGGTTTAAACTATAACAGTGATTACAATAATCGAAATATTTCAACAGTTATGCATACATCTATCTGAGTACGAAAGACTGATACTGGGATAAACAAAGACTTTATCTTAATGGAGTTTAGTATTGAATTTGCAAAACACAGGATGAGAAACACGAGTTACTTCATCGAATTTTATTTACTACAGAACTGTTTCTTATTACAAGCGTTAAGCTTGCCACGCTCATCAGGTAAATAATATTATTACAACAACAAAACGACTATATACAAGAGACGCATAATTAATTAGGTCTTGCTACATGTTATGTTCTGGTTACAGTGCATGTTACTTAATGTTACTTAATGTTCGATGCCGACATGTGGAAACAAGTTCATTACGCTTGTTCAAAGAGCTTAATTCAGGATGACATATGATAATAGATTTTTCGATATATAAATATATATGAACAAATTTATACAATGTTTGCATGATTTGAACGTGACACACATTTGGCGCGCAATGTATGCCAATACAAATCTTGATCATCCATGTCTGCGCAATTACCTTAAAAGTCAATAGATGCCATCCAGCTCTGTTAAAGCGCTGTTCAAGCATTGCGTCATCTTCACTGTTATCTTATATATGTTCCACTAACTTCCGTTCAAGCCGTGTTCCAGCGCTATAACAGTGGTACGTCATGAATACTGCATGAGTAATCAAATATAGCACCGCATCACGGCTGCGACTATACAAATCAGTTTATCGCTCTCGTCCTCTATAAATCGGAAAATCTGTCAGGTGTTGGTTTTTCTGCACGTATTTTAGGTAAGTCATGAGTTTAAGGTAAATCAACTTTTTAAATGGGCATTTGCAGTGTAGAGGCTAGCATTACAGTTGAAACACATGTGACTGCCTGATATAAACGCAAATCAAGAAATGTCGTACGGTTGAGGAATAATTGCATATACGCATGTCCGCGCGTGCATGAAGTATGCCTAGTACACCTAAAAATAATGAGAGGAAATATGAAATATCTGGGAAGCCCTTTTTAAATGCTAACTTAGAACATCTGCGCTATGTCTCGCGGCTGTGGAATATCTTCAATTTTCTGTCTTTGAAGTTTTGCTCTCTGCAAATTACAAATCATAATTTCATTTCGACCCTACGATATTCAAGCATCAACCGAACCGCCCTAGTTTTTTATGCAGCGGAACTATCGCGAATTAGCTGATCCTTAATTTTCGAGGAAATATTGAAGCTGTAATCCGAGTGCAATAGGATATCCGGGAAGTAACTCGCGGCAATTGCTGCGCGTATATTTTGCACTGATCAGACCTGCATAAGGAGTATTGTTGTACTGTATGAAATTTAACCTTGACTGTAAGAATTCAGTCTCGCCAAATTAAACTTTAACGAAATAAGACAGCCTAGCCTGGCTGACGTACTTTTCAGTCAAGCATTATTAAGTCTCGCAAACAAGGCAGTAACTGGCACAATCAACTGTTTAATTTGAACAAATTTACGAAGAATTTGTTAATAAATTGTTTAATTTTGATGCATGAAATTTTGATTTTTGTTGATCGCTGGATTTAAAAGTATGTCATTGATTGTGACATCGCTGATCGCTTTCTGTAGAAATGATTTATAATAATTTCAAATGTGACGCATTTGGGGCGCAATGTATGGTAATACGTCTGATAGACAATATCTGCATAATTAAACATTTGTAAAGTGCTGTTCAAGGAGTGTACAAGAATGGTAACATCTTTACTGCTGTTCAACTACCGTTTAAGTCGTGTTCCAGCGCTCTCGCAGTGAACGTCATCAATAGTAATCTACTGAATAGTTATAGTTTATCGTTCTCGTCTCTCCAAAGGTTGGGAAAGCTGTAAAATTTTAACTGAAGATTTTAACTGCACGTATTTTAGGTAAGTCCAACTTTTTCAATGAATTTTGCGGTGTAGTTTAGCATAATATGCCTCTCATTAATAGCATATTATATAGCACATACAGATGAGACACGTCGGAGACTGTGATAGGAAAACGTTTCCCTCGATTCGTGTTTTTAAATCAAGGAAAATTGTGCGATGATGACTAGTTTCACGCATGTCTGTCTGCGTTTGGTACCCGAAAAGGCAGAAAAATTGAATATTTCGCCAAACGTGTGTAAATCCTCGATTAGAACATCTGCACTATATTTCGGGACTGCGGGAATGTCCTCAGTTTTCTGTCTGCAGTTTTGCTTTCTGCAATTTCATGTAATAATTTCACTATCCAAATGTCAGTATACTTTTTGACCGCTGCAACATGCATGCATTCACCGCCCTAGTTTTTTATTTAGCGGAACTATCTTGTAAGGAAACCTTTTTTTATTCGAGGAAATAATCGGGTGTAATCTGTTTTGAACAATGTAATATGATCTCCGGGAACAAACTTAGGGCAATTGCTCTAGGTATTGAGTTTTAATTGAGGCAGCCTGGCTCAAGTACACTTCAGTCCAACGCTATTTGGACGGGAATGGAAACAAACTATAAGGAATTTAACAATAGCTACAAAATCCTTCACAGATTTTTACTAATTATCTTTACTAATTATCTTATATAACATATTATGTTTTGTAATGTGATCTGGAATGTGACTCCCAGCAGGGTGGACATTCGTGAAACCTAGCTTCTACAATATCTTCGACTCTATTTTAATTTGCGGTGCGATAATCGGTTAGTTACTTTTGTTATCTGGTTTCCATATAATCGTAATTGTTTTGAGCAAGTGATTTTCACGGATGAGAAATAGTCCGGTTGTAAATTTTACTTCATTTCCGTATTTAAATCGGTCATTGTTGTCTGCACACACATATAGAAATATTCTATCACATCAGCCACCTTGGCATGTTCACGACACTTATACGACTTAATGGAAACCAGGCTTTAACACGATAAAATTATTACTCAGGGATGCTGATTAATTGAGCTGCTGTCATTTCAGTTGCTGTATTGCAAAATATGCAATAATGCATGATTATGCCAAAATAAACAAAATGGCGGGAAGTTATTTGTATAGAAACTAGAAACTGAAGTTTGGTTTTGCCCCACGTTTAGTTCCCGCCCAATACAAGCTTATATCATATGTAAGCATTACTGGTTGACTGTTTCGGCTTTGGGCCAGTAAATTGCACAATTTTATTCATTACAGATTCGCTACATATTTTTTTCGACAGTTCCATATTTAAATCGAGATATGTTTGCAAGCATTATTGGGCTGTTTTGTACCTATTCGACGCTGGCTCGGATATCTACGTGGCTTATAAGTACTGGGAAAATGGTAATTTTTGGTGGTTCGGAATGGCGGTGATCTTTTTCCTTGTCCCATCAATCATAGTGAATGCGATATCGTTTTCGCATTTGATGAATCCGTGGTCGTGTCTGGCCAGCGTTCTGCAATTGTCCATGGTGCCTAGATACATCGAAAAAATCCTTTGGAATCATAATGCCTTAGGATTAGCAAGGTTGCGGTATCTTGGGACAATTATGGGGTCAGCGCCACAGTTTTGCCTTCAATCATACGTCATGTTACGTCAGTGGTATTTCCCACAGTACGCTGTGCTCTCCATTGCGTTTTCACTCCTGTCCTTGACTTGGAGTATCGGCGAACTCGAGACTGTGAATAGAAAGGGGAACTTCGAAATTGTGGAAAAATTCGCGCTTCTTGTTTGGCAACTTTCCACGCTTATGTTGAGATTCTCTGGAATTGTATTTTTTGCTTACGTGTTCAGATACCACGTGATTCTTTCCCTAGCCTTTCATTGGTTGCTTCTGATTGCATACAAGTTCTGCAAAACCTCGTATATTTCAGCAGAATCGGTTCTCGCTTCATTCCCTGCCCTCTTTCATCCAAATACGATCTTGGAATATTTTTTCATCGTCGCTGAAAACGTCGTCATGGTGACGTTATGTCTGACGATTGGAATCCAGAGTGTATCATATTTGGAAAAGCCGGAAGCCGTTCCTGCGACCGTACCACACGTGGACGACTTCAAACGAATGGCTGTTTTTTGCTTGGCCGCAGGATCAGCCATATCGTTCGTCTTCATGGTTATCTATCACCGCATGAAAGATGTAAATATTAATCATCAAGCGGATAACCCAGTTGTTTAGTTCTTACGATAAGAGAATTTAAGTCTCATTTACTCTTGCCATTTTTGTTGCGATCTTGTGCGCGATTTTCTTCTTTTCATAGATGTGAACGAATAACAAGTTACGAATGCTCAGTGAAATGAATATAACATTATTTATTATACATTTCACCGCGAATGCTCTAATGTGCATGTACGAGCTCCAATTTGCACATAGGTAACTAATTCACTCTTTCATATCTCTCAAAAGTCGAAAATCGCAGCATAAATTGTAGGTGTAAATGGCCCTTGAGAAACATAATCAATCAGAAATATTTTAAATATTTTATCGACAATTTCATTCGCTGTTGAAAGTTAAAGTATAATCCTTCTTGCCATTTGATTACATTTGATTACGTTCTCGCATTTGACTGCGCATTTAATTTGATGCTGTATTTTTTGTAAAAGAAGACCTGGAGATGCTGCATGAGAATCAGTTTTTGTTTAATAATTTTTATACCAATTTTTGTTAAAGCAAGATTCCGATACGCGTTGATTGAGAGGTGCAGGAAGGCAATAGCATGGTTAAATTTGTAATACCCATACATAATACATTGCATGTTTTGTCAAAGATTCTTTCGAAAAGTTGTGGCATGTTGAGACAATAGAGGGCCTCACGTTATACATAAAACGGCAAACGGAAGACGAAGAAAATATTTTCAGTCAAAAGGCAATAAAGAGCAAATGCATGGAGTCAATATTGTAAAAAGTTCAAGCGCAATCAATGTTTTTACATAAAAAAGAAAATGCGAAACGAAGAAGATGAATTGTGCAAAGAAAGTTCGGCCGTTTGCCGTTTCTCGGAAACCGGAAACGCAAGTTTAATTATAGGTTCCGCTCAGCATAAGACATACGTCTATTATATGTTTTATATTCATTTCAGCCTTTATGTTTTGTGTTTTTTTAAAAAATTTCTGTACCTTCTTCAAGATAATTGTAAATTCCATGTAGCTCCCTTACCATGGAAACATAATCTGTGACAGTCAGTAATACAGTAGATATTGATACGTAATCTTACGTCACGAATTGCGCAGTCGTTTTTAAACGGCGAGGTTGTTGTTAAAAGTTTTTCTTCTGGTACTCTTCAAACCGTCAAAAAAACTCTTGTTCTTCAGTTTTTGTTCAATGCAAGCTGCACTGATCTAGGTAACTAAGGTAAGTCCAACAATTATGTGTCTCGTAATACTTTTTCTGACACGTATACAGTTGAGGTATCAGTATTATTATGAGAAACTGAGTATTCAACAAGTACGTTCGGAAATATTTTCGCTCGACCGCTGAAATTCAAGAAACGTCGTGCGGTTAAATACTTGCATTTATGTCTATCTACGCCCTCGTAGTGTACCTGGAATAAACGGGAAGAATAAATTGAGAATACAAATACTGAATACATACTCTCCTGACGAAGGCATTTATATTTGATAATCCGTTTGCAATTACTGGTTGAATATAGAATATTCATAAAAGCGATGACGACAAAGTAAGTTTACGACAAAATGTCGGTACACATCGACAGCTATGGCATGCAGGTATAAACCGTTCAAGAGTTATATTTAACTCGATTGCAAAACGTATCAGTTTTAGTCCTGTTTAGGAAGATGAACGTTATTAGTGTAACACAATACCTGTGGAACAATGTGAACTTATGCCATGGGAATGTCATAATGGCATTCATCTCTAAATGGTGTTGCCTAATGAAATTTAACGTGTCCAACGACACATAATGCGAAAAATTCGTCCAACATTAAATATATTGCAATGGCTTCGTAGGTCGTGCTTAATGTTTGTCACGACTCATAACATTGCAAGAGTCGATCTTTCATCTTTGTGTGCCAAAACTATGACAGGAAATAGGTGATCACCTGACAGTATGCTTCAGATGAACACTTGGGAAATGGCAACTGAAGAGTTTGAAGTGGAAGTCAAACTCTTTCTGCGAAGCGGTTCTGCGCATCAATTCTGCTCATAACATATTAAAATTGCCCAAATTTCCTGTTTCGAAATTTTCTGAACATGAACCCTGAGGGTTCATATTAATTAGAAGCGCAGAGAACGTTAATATATATCGTATATTATAACTTATAGTAATTCTAAGCGTAAACCAACCGATACCACAAGCTACTGAACGTACTAAAGGGGAGCTTAATTAAGACGTGCATACCTTACATCAATGAGCGGCCACTCTGGTCCGCTCTTCTTTCTGTTGTTGACCTAAGTTCTGAATACATCTTTTTATCAGTTTTAGACATGGATCGAAGACAGATCGCAATCGTGGGGCTGCTGCTGTATTTATTTGACTTAAGCTCCGATATCTTCGTGGCTTATAAGTACTGGGAAGATGAACATACTTGGTGGTTTTGGATGACGATTTTTTTTATCGTTGCCCCTTCAATAATAGTGAATTTGACATCGGAGGCAAAGCTAAATCATCCATGGTCATGTTTGGCGAGCGTCCCACAATTGTCTTTGGTAGTTCGATACGTGAAAAAAATAACCCGGGATCGTAATCCCTACGAGTTCGCAAAGTTGCGGCATGTGCAGACAATCACGGAGTCCGCTCCACAGTTCTGCCTTCAGCCATACTTCATGTTACGTCAGTGGTCCTTCCCATGGTACACCGTGCTCTCGATTGCAATGTCTTTCTTGTCCTTGACCTGGAGTATAACCGAACTCGAGATTATAAGACAAAAAAGCACAAAACTGGGTCCACTTTTATTTGTGGAGAAATTCGTGTTTCTGTTTTGGAAAGTTCCTGCACTTATGTCAAGATTATCTGCAATTGTTTTTGTCGCTTACGTGTTAAGATATTACGTGATTCTTTTCCTTGTAGTTCACTGGTCGCTTCTGTCTGCATTTACGATTCGTATAAAAGCGAGTGATATCGCAAACGCATTACTGACGTCAATCTCTCCCCTGTTTCATTCTAACAACCTCTTAAAGTATTGTTTCATCGTTGTTGGAAATTTCACCATGGTACCACTTTGTAGAACGATTGGAAATCAAATACCAATGGAACCGTATTTGTTAAACTTGGGACCTCGTCCTAGGACCTTAATACGCAAGGACCAATTGGAAACCATAGCAATATTTTGCGTGGCTGGAGAAGCAGTGATATCGTTCGGTTACATAAATCTTTATTATTTTTTTGATAAGTATCGAAATCCTAGTTTATTAGCATTTTTGATGTCTGATAACACAGTTGATATATAAAGCTCTTTAGCAATGGACGGATATAAAACGTAATCAGACGTAAGAGTGAAAATTCTACTGGATACAGTTTTATATCGACTAGTAACTGACATAGTTTCAACGCTATAATTTTAGAAGCTATAATAAAGATGGTAAGGAAAGAGTCTGTTATTGGTGAATAATATTTGAATCGAATACCCCAATTCATAATGTAATAGACCTTTTTCATAATGACGTCAAACGCGGAAAGTCTGATGTTACACGTTTGATTGGCTCGATAGATTTGTGGTAATTTTTTGAGTATTAAATAAGTCTTCGTGAAATAAAACATGTTATCATGGACAATCATGGGTTCCCGGCAGCACCACAGTTTTTCCATCCAGCATACGTCATGTTAAGTCAATGGTATATTAGTCCCACAGTACGTTAATAATAATAATAACTTTATTTAAAAAGTGTCAAATTGTTTAGATTTTCACAAACTAATTGGGGATAATACAATAATCAATATATATAAATTTTTAAATTAAGAGTTCTATAATATATAATTAATGTTGTAGTTAAAGCTAATCTTCCCTGGAATATTTTTGGAATGAATATATAGCAGGATTTTGATGTTATATATACAATTTTACATGAAAGGGGTATATTTTCAAAGCACCACTTCTGCCCCAGGACAAAGCTCAATAATTTACAACGTGCCTGTTATATCGACTAGCGTCTACCTGCAGCATAAGTGTATAATATGCATTCCTTATTTTCAAATTGCTAAATTACGAGTGATGAAGGTGTCGTTACAGCTTCATGCATTTTGCTCATTCCCTAGAATATTTACCTCCCTTGAGATAGCGAGAGAGAGAAAGAATAAAAATGAACTTTTCAACTTTGGTTCTAAATTAATATTTCTCTCGTGGCATATATTTGGCTTAATCTCAAGGCTAACTGCAATCGTGACAGTTGCCTACATACTTCGATACTGGTTACCATCCTGGTTACCATGGCAATCGCTACTCATCGTAGAGAAGAATTTAGGGGGGAGGGAACGTATGCGTGCATATTCATGCTCATTACTTTGCTGTTTTGTGTCTCCTCCCTTCTGATATTTGCGACCGAACCCTCCTGTCTTTTTATATTAATCGGAGGTGGTTAGTTTTGTTGCTTTCGTGGTTTTTGCCGTTGAGAATACGATAATGGTTTAAATTGGAAAAGTACGGGTGATGAAGGTGTCGAGTCGTTACGGTTTTCTGCGTTCTGCTCATTTACGTTCATCTTCCGCTTAAGATTTATAATTGCAACACTCACGTCATTTATGAGGTAATGCTAAAAAGTTAATAGAAGCCTTTGTAGGAAATTGTAATTTTGTCCGGATGACGATCTCGTGGGTATATTTTGACTCCTTAAGGCATAAGTGCAATATTTTTCTGATTCATCAGCACGTTCAACGCATTGTCATTAGTCCAATACGACAGTTGGTGCTGGACAAAATAAGGTAAGAAATGCTGTAAAGATCAGCTGTTGTCTAGTTTAAAATGTTATACGCCATATCATAGCTATGCCATTATACTGTTTCCACAACTGAGCTAAATTCAATCAAGGTTCGATTTCTTTAATTCTGAATTATATGATTATAAATTGAGAGCACAATTTAATTTAACAGTTGTTCCTAGAAAAATAAGAAATTTGAATACGTTCCACGATACGTGCCTTTGGCGTGAATGGTTCATTAATATTTTGGCTTTAAAATTTGTAAAGATATCTGATTCAACTTTTTCATCAGTTGAATCAGATATAGGTCAAGTTCTGAGTGCCGAAATCCTCGCTAGCCGATTATCACACGATTGGAATACAGCCTGTAAGCTGTGAATAAAAAATATATAAATAGTAGTAACGTTTTTATATAATTCGATTTTTCATGAGGTGAGACATTCGGTCGCATACATCCATGAAGGAAATTGGCAAACTGTTTCATTTTTCGACCTCTGCCATATTACATAGTTGTATGGGAATGGAATGTATTCCCCAAAAATACCTTCAACAAAACTGGGCAATGCAACTTTCACATAGGAATGGTTGTAATTGTGTTCGGCAGAACACAAGCCAAATCAGTTAAAGTTTCTATCTATAGAAAGCAACAAATTTCAAAGAATAAAGCCATCTTGAAATTCAAGATATGAATTTGAATTGTTTTAACCCGTATCTTGTTTCTTTTTAATTTTTTTGAAATTGTCGGCTGGACGTGGTTTTTATCTATCATTGACGGAATTTTTATAGGAGAATTGGTGAAGATAAAACGGGCAGGCTATTTGCTGTCGGCATGAAGTAAACAGTTGTTCGTTGTTATAGAAATCACTTTTGATGACTCATTCCGGTTTCAGTCAAGATCGTTTCTTATTATATTGCCAAGTCATTATTTCCGTGCTCTTCATAACTCGTACTTAATGAAAATTATCCTCTTATAACACCCTCGGTAAGGCCCGTTTCAGACACCGAACTTCTCTTTTTGTTTACTTCGGCACATGAGAGGTTAATAACGTTCGACGTCTGAAACAGGCCTAGGGCGCTGTTTCCTTGCAACTTGCAATGCGATTCTAATTTTGAGGGATGTTAATTTGTAGAGGGTATTCAAAAGGCTTAGAAATCGTTAACAATCGTAAGAAATATTCGTATTTGTCAACTTTAGATTCCTCAGGAGTAAAATTGCGTTGCAAGTTGCAAGAAAAGTTGCATGGTGTAACAGCGCCTTAAATAACATTCAGTTCGGCTCCAGACTCCTGAGATGCGTCCTAACCGTGCCTTATCACATATGTACTTTAAATTTTCTAGGTTGATTTTGAAATTTTAAAAAGATGAAAGAAAAGAATCAGTTATTCTTGCTCGTGATAGGCATGTTGCTGTACATCCTCGATCTGACCTCAGACGTTTGGCTAGCTATCCGTTATCACAAGAACGACGAATCGGGATGGTTTTTCGCGACTTTAAGCGTGCTCATCATCGCATGCATCGTGACTAATATGGCTGTATGTTTACACGTGTTTAAAGACACGATCGAAGGGCCTTATAAATGTTTGTGGATGTTTTGCACGTGTCCCATTCTGTTTCGCTTCGTCGAAGAATTCGCATATTGGAAGCAGGCGAATGTCGATCGCTCTCCGTGCGGTCAGAAATGCCAAATTCCACGCTGCAAGGAATGCGAAAAGCATTTGGAAAAAAGGCAAAGATCGCTGAAGTCGACCTATTCGCTAACGTGGCTCCATCTTATGCAAACGCTGACCGGAAGTGCGCCACAGTTTTGCCTTCAAATGTACATAATGTTAAACCAATGGCATTTTCCATCTCTTACCGTTATCTCGACTCTGATCTCGTTTATTTCATTAGCCTGGAGCATTATCTCCCTTGAACTAGCGAGAGAGAGCAAAAATAAAAATGAACTTTTCAACTTTGGTTCTAAATTAATATTTCTCTCTTGGCAGATATTTGGCTTAATCTCAAGGTTAACTGCAATCGTGATAGTTGCCTACATACTTCGATATTACGTGTTTTTCGTATTGGGTTTTCATTGGTTCCTGGTTACCATGGCAATCGCTATTCATCGTAGAGAAGAATTTAGCGGGGAGGGAACGTATGCGTGCATTTTCATGCTAATTACTTTGCTGTTTTGTGTCTTCCCCCTTCTGATATTTGCGACCGAACCCCTCCTGTCTTTTTATAATAATCGGAGGTGGTATACTTTTGTTGCTTTCGTGGTTTTTGCCATTGAGAATACGATAATGGTGGCCCTATCGTTTGTTGTTTCAAAACTTGACGTTTTTACATTGAGTTGGAGTCATGAAAATCTGTTCTGGTTCGTGGTTGCCGCGTGTGTGCTTGGTGGACTGGCTCTAGAGACTGTGTTCTTTTTAGGGTACTACAGATTTTGTTGTAGCCGAAAAGAGATTGATGCTGCCAGCAATGAACCTGTGGCCGTAGAAGATATCGCACTGGAAAACGACGGTTTTAATAACTGCTGACCAAGGCACTTCATCATCCTGCGAGAAGCATTTCTTCTTGTCATCGTAACTGAAAAATGTGACGAATATACCCGCTCATATTTCATCAGGATAACCGCTGACATATTCTGGAAGACTGGAACAAACTGGTCACTGTTCCGTTCAGGTGATTTAACGAAGAGCAAAAGGCTGGCACTAGCAATAGAATAGAATCGATTTTGCCAAACCTCTTTCTTTGAAGTATTTTAAAAATTTGCGAGTAACTTGCAATAGAGCCACGAGTTCATAAATAAGTACGTCAGTACCACTGAGTCAGTACCCAAATAGATTACCGATCTAAGTTTATAACTGATACCTCAATGTTTTTATCTCGTACGTCATGTTACGTAGAAATATACTTGAAGTGCTAGAAAGTCTAGATTGTTTCAAGATTGTTGATGTGAAATGGAATGCATTGGGTGACAAAGACGAAAGACTTGTTACTTCGATTATAAACCGAATCATAGATCAGAAATTACTTTAAATATTTGTTTGCAATTTTCACATGCACGTTATTAAAAAATTTGTTTAATTATTAAAAAAAATTAGCCAGGAATAAAATGTTAATAGATTGTTGTGTCGACAACCATTTAAAATTAAATTTGGAACAAATTTCGTAAATTAGCAAATAACTTTCTTGAACTTACGAGCAAACATTAGTGTATTTGAAGAAAAATTTATGATATAAGCCTATAATATTCGTGAAATCCAGAGTGAATAAATTGTTAAATGCTTATGACGAGTTATTACCCTGTATGTACATACAATTAATTTATAGTCCAGAGATTTGTCTGAAACGACCATTGTTTCGAAAACAATTTTAACTCAAATAGCTCTTACACGCACTTACAAACTAATTTAGATCGGAAATTGTTTTCGACCTGCCCTTGCTCTTGGCCTTTCTAAAATCTTAATTGAATCCAATTCTTGCAGCATTTCACATAGAAGACCAAAGTTGTTTTTTTCTTTAAGCAAGCGAAGAGAACGTATAGCAGTTCTAAAAGACGTTTAATTTATTTGAATTGTGAAGACGAACCACAGCCGTAGAATGTACTTTTTGACATCGTATCCGCCAATTTGACGGTTTTGACGTACAAATAAGTTTTTGACATCTTTTAAGGCGGTACTTTTAACAGAAACAATTCAGTTCAAATGCTTATCGTCTGTAAAATTCATAAACAAAAGCTTATCTGCCAGCTATAATCCTTCAACCTCTTCAAAAAAGCTGACTAAAAGTCATTGTCCGACTTTTCACTATATATTCAGCTTGCATGCTTTAAAATATTTGTTTACGAACAATTTATGCGTGGCCTTCAAATGTACCTGTTTCCACGAGGGCGTACCGGTCGCTGATTGGCCAATTGGGGGCGTCGACGTCGCTGATTGGTTAATGGAAGCAGCGATTAATTCGCTTCGAATCGATGAATTTAATATCGTGAATTTTAAATATAGTACTTGAAATTATATTGTCCTATATACATTATACGCAATTTCGAGACTATTATACGCAATACGGCGGACGTAATTTATCTGTTAACGGAAACGAGCCGTATTCATGAAGAATGTGATTTTATATCGGTCCTAGATCATTTATGGAGACAGAAAAATGGAGTAGCTTTAGTGTCGAAGATTTGTTCGGCTCGTGCGATTTGGACAAGTCGGGTTATATCGACCGACACGAATTAGCCGCCGTCTGCGACTTGGACGATCATGATTTAAACGAGATATTTTATCAACTTGACCTGGACAACGATGGACGCATCAGCGTGGAGGAATTTTCTAAAAACTTTCAGAACTTTAGCGACTTCGTCGCTGATCTGAAATCGACAAAAGAGTCCGAAGGCCAAAAGGAGGACTTTCAAAAAGTCGCAAAGGATTGGCCGCGTTCAAGAACGATTTGGGGTTGGATTCGTGTCTTGATGCAAGGTAAGATTCCAGATTCGGGGATTTGAGGAGAAATATGAGCAATTGTATGGTAGTCGATTACACTTTTAGACATGATTCATTCGTGTGGTTGAACAAAATGTAAAATGACTAGCACCAAAATTTTTTACGCGTGTCCTTCGTTAATGAATTTAATTAAATGTTTCCCGTTTAATTGCGACTTTTGTGGAATATGTTCCGTTTTTGCCCTATAAGGTGAAATACGTGTACGATTTCAGAGGAATATTTCCCGGCAACTACACAAACTGTGTTGAATATATATTGTTGATTTCAGTCCGTTTAGATCTATCTAATCACGGATTAGACGATATCTTTAATTCGCCGTTCAGAAAAGCGCGCTGAAGGCGTATGCCTAACACTAACACCATTGATTTTAATTTGGAACGAAGTCGATTGTATATACGCTATAGTATGGCTAAATTTATATGTGACATTCAATCAAAGCAAAAGTGCCGATATGTTTTAGATCCTCAGAGCGCTTGTTTAACTGCTTGGAAGCGCCGTGTATGGCACTTTTGAGACCGATTGTCCGTAATTCGCCCTGATTGCATGAACTATGCGGAAACCCTTTAAAACTAAGTGTCTGTCCCGTCACCAATTTGGCTGTTTGAATTTATACTACAGCTCCTCTTGATTTTCCCCAAGTACGAATATTACCGAAATTATTAAAAATCTAAATTAGGCCGGACGGGTAGTTGACAGGTAGTCAAAGTTTGCACACGATATGATATGAAAACGGATATGAAATTAAATATCACCTTATAAAAAATATCGGTTCTCTCCTGAATTATTTCGGCTTCAACCGGCCTACGGGCTAAACGTATATACTTCAAGACGGTTTCTTGTTATTTACTTTGCAAGAACCACGCATAAGAAAGGAGCGTACAGCGTTTAAGTATTGAGCATTCGATTGGTCGGCCGAGTTGCTTATGCACACACACGATACACGATGTTTACAGATCCGCCTATATTTAATAAATCTATATTGTAAACGTTTAGCTAAATGAATGGGGGTCATCATCGGTAGTCCAATATAATATATAATCGTGCAAGGTCAGACTGGAATATACTACTTCGTTATTTTCGAAATTTTATAGAAATCTAATGCGGCTTCTCCAAGGTAATAGTAACTGATAATAGTAAACTGATATTATATACCTATAGTTGTCAAAAGGTCATGCAATTAAATATTTTAGTTTAGATGGAGTATATATATCTGAATATTCTATGATAATATGAACGAAGGCGCAAACGCGAGAAAGACTAAAGAATGCGTAAAAACGAACGCCATATCTCGTTCAAGAACTTGTTAACAATTTTCTATATTCAAGACAAACAACGCGGACAACGATTCTACACGAGTCGATGATCTGCCGTGTGTGGGTTTTGAATAAATTCAGAAGTTTTCTTCTTTCACCAAATGGCCAGTGAATGGTTCTCAGCAAGCCGCCCGTGCACGTTTCATTAGTGGAAGGTAAAGATGTTTCGAGACGTAGCTATATCACAGGCCTCCATATCGATTGTCGCCGCGCGCGCATTTGCATGCCTGCATGTGATCAACAAGGAGAAATTTCGATTTAAACTAACGCCATATTTGTTAACATTTTTCAGGCAAAGCCAACCAGAACGCCTAAATTTTTAATACTTCATATAAAATGGTATACATTGTAATTCTTATCAAAATTTATGCATTCTGATTGGGTTACTGAAAATGTAAGCAAACTTGCTGATTGGTCTAAAACGAAATCCCCCCTTGTTCGTGAGATCAGCATTTATATTCAGTTCATGCAGGTATAGTAACTCGCACACAAACGACGGCAATACGTAGCAGGATGCTGCTTTTACTGACTGCATGGATAAACACATTTGAGATATTTATCTTTCAAGTAGCTCAGAAACAAGCCATGCATGCTCATACGCACAACCCGTCCTATATTTGAATATGGATCCTCTCACATATAGACGTGGGGTTTGCGTCAATGCAAACATCCTGTAGCATAAATTTCAAAAAACCAACAGCTTTGCCAAAAAACTTATTCTTAAGTTGTTATTGAAGTTTGTCCATCTCAACCACCGACTGCATATATTATTGGTTTGCTTAAGTGCGTAAGCCAATCCACGCGGTGATAAAATTGTAACGGCGGTCCATTAAAATGAAATATGGTAAAAAATTGCTTAAGGCAAAAGACAAATTTATCTTATAAACACGCTGCACACATGGCAACACCATATACTTCGTGTCTGTTAAAGGTTTATGGCATTGGATTTTTGCTGCAAAATGTCTACATATTCATGTCTGAGCCCGCAAAAGATTGTATAGGTGACAAATGCATTCGCTGGTTTTATATATCATCATGGAAATTGCAAGCTCGGTCTATTTTTTTAGCGGCTTCTCCGTTAGAAATTAGAAACTTCTTCTTATGTACTGCAACACTACTATAATGTACGCATGACTTTTTTCATGTTTTCTTGCATATAGAGGCATTTAACAGCGTTCTGTTTAAAATAGCAGGTTTAATTTCTGCCTGACTTGTTTCTTATAAACAAGCAAGAGTTTCGCCTTTTGCAACGTCATTCATTCAGACCGTACGTATCATCTTAGAAGTAACTGAATTGAAAATATTTAAGCCATTAACGGCTGTAGCTGGAAATGCATCACGCTTCAAACTTCCTTTCCGTAACAGATTCCTTTAACCCGTCACATTTGAAAAGAAAATCAGGCGAAAAGTCTCATTGTCAAACTAGAAGCCCGAAGACGAAGTCATTGCATGCATATGATGTTATTAACATCACTACAATGAATTGAGAATAAAGTTTCGTTAATTCAACATCAATGCGTCTGTTTGTCAGCTATCTTTCCTTTAATGCTCTTTATTGCATGAAAACATCACGAAGACATTCATAGTCGGCAGGTATCGTCTATTTTTACATCACCTAACTCGTCTACGGAGTGACAGTTGTAAGAATATCTCCAGCTGTGTTGTCTCAGCTCTTGAACAAACACGTAAATTCTAGACATCGTATTTGTTAATAGCCAACCACACAACTGCGCATACTAAGTGCTAAAACGCTCAAAGAGCTCGAAGATCACGAAACAGCAAGTTTAAGATTTA